GCTGGGCTGGAGCTCTCAGGAAAGGCTGCTGCTGGTTTTGGCCCTGAGGTTTTGCCATCAGTGGCTCGGTGTGGCTCCATGTGGGGCCATGGTGCACTGTAGCACAAAGCACACGCATTTACTGTTCAGGTTGCTGTTTAAATCTCCTCGGGAGGAGGCTGAGCATCATGGAGAGCTGGTTTGAAAAGTTCACATCCTTCTCTGGATGCGTTGCAAACTATTTTAAAAGGTTTTTTCATACTTGTGAGATGGCACTATGGGCACAGCGTGCCTGGTTTGTGCAGGTGTCCTGTGCCCTCCATGCACGGGTGCAGAAGAGGCTCAGGAGGGCAGAGCTCGTGCCAGGGCGTGTGCTGGGAAGCCCAGGGGCATGGGGGAGCCAGAGCTGTGTGCTGTGGTCACTGCAGCCGAGCCCCAGGCAGGGTGTGCTGCTGCTGGCCAGGGCAGTCCCTTGTGCTGGCCACAGGCTGCTCCTGGCTCTGCTTTCCTGCTGTTAACACAGAGCTCCTGGGAGCTCGGTGGCTCTCCTGGTGGCCACGTTTGTTGCCCACACCAGACTCGTGTGGCTCGGGTCCCTCCAGGCTGACCATGGCTCCCCTCCAGGTGCTGCTGTGCCTGAGCTCTGTGCCAGCCCCTGGTTCTCAATCTGCTCGCAGATTCCTCTGGTGCCATTTAGCTGAAAATCAAGTGTTCTCTAAGCAGGGGAGCTCTCTGGTTTATGAGATACTCTTCTAGGTAAAGGATGAACGCTGTGAGCATTCAGGTCTGGGGAAAATGGGAACAGTTCTGCAGCATTAGAGAAAGTGCTTTCTACAGTCTAAGGTCATTTACATTTTAAAAGTGGCAGTAGTGCACTCAGTGTTGGGTTTTTTGTTGGTTTGGATTAACAGGTCTTCATCTTCAGTCATGCAGGAAAATGTTTTGCAAGGGATTCATTTGTTTATTTAAGTATTTTTAATATCAGAAATTGAAAATTCAAGTGTAAAAAGCTATGAAAAAACAGCAGTAAAGAAATCCAAAGCTATAAAAGCTTATGGTGAGAATTTAATGCAGAACCAGCTGTTATTTCCTCAGGAGTTAAGGTGTATAAACTCCTCCATGGCTGTGCATCCCCACAGTCGTGGTGTGAGGAATTAGCACTCACTGCAGTGTGCAGGCAGAGCCCGCCAGCCTCTGAGGCAGCGATTCATCTGTGCCCAGGAGTTAAATATGACAATGTTAGCATTTTTCATTTCCCTGACGTTACCATTAATAAAGCAATGATCCAAAAGAAGCTTTGCTGAGTCTGTTCTTTATGCTTCCATCACTCACAACTAGATAATTTCACAGAGGATCGTTTTTAAATTAAATGACGATAAAAGCGCTCTGCTGTCCTGTGCTCACTAGTTCATAGAAGTCTATCAAGTCATTAATGTGTCATGACAAACTGTGAGTTGGATACAAGAGTAATTAATTATTTGCATAAATAACAGGTTGAACTTTGTGCTTTCAGCCACAGTGACACATGCACGTGGACGTGCTGGAAGCCCTGGCAGAGGTCACGGGAGGGTGAGGGCTGAGCTGGCACAAGGCTGGTCCCACTCTCACACACTTGGGAGCTTTTGTGTTTCCAAGTTCTTCACTGACGGTCGCTTCAAGAGAGCATCTGATCTTTGGAGCTTTAGCGAACAATTATACAGATTTTCATAATCACCATTAATCACCACATATTTTTCAAGATAATTACAGCAACTATTATTTAGATTTCTCTTTTATGTGCACATTGTAGAAAAGAACAAGTGCTTATTACGCTGGGTAGTGTAGAGAACTACCGTCTGAAGTTCTTTGTCATCCAGAAACTCATTATGTTAGCTGATGCTGCCTGTGAAAGTTCGTCAGCATGTTTAAATTAGGGTAGCATTGGCAGGTCTGATTATTTAAATCTGGTAGCTTGGCTAAAAATATAGTTATTCAAGAAAGATGAATTACTAATTTGACAACTGAGATTTAGTTGGAGTCTGCAGCACAGAAGGCAGCATCTCTCGAGTGCTTAGAGAAGGGTGACAATACTTTTACAGATTCCTTCTGGCAGTGGGGCTTTGAGGGGCAAGAGAGCTCTGCCTACCTGTGCAAGGAGGCTTTAATCTGCAAGGTGCAAACACTTTATAGGTCTTCAGAAATATTTTGAAGTCCCAACCTTTAAAGAAGTTGGAGCCTGTATGGGTCAGTGCATGAGCTGCTCCTATGATGAGTAATGCTATAAAACTGGGACCTTGCCCACCACTTCTGTTTGAATCAGCACGTGTTCCTTTGCAAAGAACTGTGCTTTGTCATTCACCAGAACCAGTTCTTTCATCCCCTGGTGTTACTGTCTGCTGGTCCAAACGTGGCACAGATTGACATGGAGGAGCCTGGTATAGCCTTTGGCCACTGAAACGGGAGCTGCAGCTCAGGGCCAGGGCCTGGTGTGTGACTGTGACACTGCCCAGGGAGGTGGTGGCACAGGGGGGGTCTCAGCACAGCAGTCACTCCTCAGAGCCTGCCAGGAATGCTTTAAAGGCAAGAGGAGAAAAACAAAAAGGAAAAAGAGAGAAATCAGAGGCTGCTGCTGCTGTTTATTTACAGAACAAGGGACAAGGAATTAAAATGCCCTCCTAGACTTCTGGTTTCATTTAACTTTATTATTAAATTAGCTGCTACTGTAAACAGCAGTTGTGTGCTGCCTCACAGTGTGCATTGGGAGCAGTGGTCCCCATGGCCAGGCCCTTGTGCTGGACACCCCAGTGCTGGACACCCCAGTGCTGGACACTCCAGTGCTGGACACCCCAGTGCTGGACACCCCAGTGCTGGACACTCCAGTGCTGGACACCCCAGTGCTGGTCAGGCTCCCACATAGCCATGGGGGCTCTTTTCTGCTGCTGCTGGAGATCATTGCAAGTGTCCCCAGCAGCAGCTGTGGGTTCTCATCCTGTGAGCAGGGCACTGCCCAGGTGAGGTGGGGGCACAGAAGGGTCCTTCCCCCAGAGCATCTCCTTTGTTCAGGGCATTTGTTCAGCCCTGGAGCAGACACAAGGGGGGAGCTCTGCTCCCTGTGCATCTTGTCTTGGGGGTGCCCAGTGCCTGCCTGCAGCCCCTGGGTGGCCCAAGGGCTCCTGGAGTCCGGCTGAGCCAGGGGGTGAAGGGGCGAGGGCGCTGCCCTCCTGCTGCTGGGGCAGGCACTGCAGTGACTGCCCAGGGATTGGTTTGTGTAAAGTTTCCAGAACTGGTGGTGGTATTTCAACCCTGGTGCCAGCGGTGCCTGGCTGTGGAAGGGATGCTGAATGAGCACCTTGTTTTGTGCTTTCTGCCTCTAATGCGTTTCAGCAGCAGGCTGGTGACGGGCCTGACACGGCAGCTCCGCGCCCGGGGAGCGCAGCGTTAATAACACACTTCCATGCATCATGCCATTCTTAAGCATGATCGTTATGATAAAGGGCATATACTTAATTACAGGCCTGCTTAATTACAGCTCTGTTGAAGCTCGTTTGTTTAGGAGAGTGCTAATTGCGCTGCGGAGCCTTTGGCTCACCCTGCTTTTATCTGCTGCTCTGCTCTGTGGTTCTGAGCTCCGGGTGGGCTGGGGCGGGGGCTCGGGGCTCTGGGGATGCACACTCAGCCTGGCTCAGCCTTTAGATTGCTTTACAAAGCTGGCGTGTGGCTGATCAAAGGGGCTTTCTGTCGGATAACAAGTGCAGATGGTCTTGCAGGTTTAAAACTTCCTGGATTTGGTGATGCTGCTTTTCATCTGTTTCCTTTGCTTTCCCTTTGCGCTGTGGCTGCCTCACAGCACCTTTGGTAACAAAACTACTCCATGGAGGGGGTTTTTAAATCGAGAATAGACAAAGCAAATTTAAAAGGCTGACTATTCTTAAATGACCCTTGTCTAATCACTAACATGGTAACTCAGTGGTGCTGTAGAATTTAGAAACAGCAGACAGAGGAGCACTGGGTTTGTGGGTGCAGTTGCTTTCTGAAAGAAAACTCTATTTGAGGATCACTGGGTGGCCTCTCAGGGCTTAAATCTGCTCTAATTTGAAGTTTTTTATTTCTTTCAGAGTTGAAATTTAAAGACTTCAGATGTTAAAGGTGCAAGTGCAATAAAGGGGGTGTATCTGAGGTGTGCACTGCCTTAGAAACACGCCCTTTTCAGTCTTGTGTGCAAGTTGCTGAGTTACACGTTTTAAAAATGTGTCTCCCTTGTATTACCACATCTTGTGGGAGGCTTCCTGTGACATGGTGATAGCAAGACACAAGCAGTGCTCATTGCACTAGGATGAATACACAGGATGGTGTAAAGGCAAACAGTGCTCTGAGTGCCATTACGGTTGTGCTACAGAGACAGCTGGGCTGTGTGACACGAGGCTGTGCCGTGTGGTGCCATGTCCTCATGCCTGTCTCCATATTCCTCTGGTTTACATCCTTCAGATGTGGCTTGCAAGTGTTTGAGCTCCACTGCTCACTGCTGAGTTTACACTGGCAGCAGCCAGGCCAGGGAGGTGCTTGGCCCCAGGTGTTTGTCACCGTCCTGCCCAGGTGGTGGCAGCTGAGTGCCCGGGACACAGGGCTGGTGGTCACTGCTCTGGGGGCTGTCCCCTGAACCAGCTGTTCCTTATCCTCTTGCTCAGACACCACGAGTGTGCTGAGCTGCTTTGGTGAGGAGGTGGTGAAGAGAAGTGTGTCCTCCTGCCAGTTTCAAATGCTGTCCTGCTTTGCCAGCTGCACAAAACTGGAAAATGGAAAATCGAGGCTATGAAATTGTGTATGGATAGAGAAAGGAGAATTCATTGGAATTCCTGGTTTGGTAGGGACTGACCCAGCTATGTCCACTGGCAGTTTAGAGGGAGGAAAAGGCTGGCAGTAATGTTTGGGAGCAATCAGTCACGTGTCAATGCTGTGAACACTTGATCTGTCTCTGGGAATGTGTGAAGTTGCATGTCAGAAGCCAGCTGGAAATGTCATGTGTGATGTCTTGTCCCTTTCAGCAATGGATGGAGTGCCTTTTATGATTTCGGAGAAGTTTGCCTGTGCTCCTGAAGGGGTGAGTTGCCTTTTTTGTTCTCCCAGTGTCTGAAATTCGTCGTTTCGTGGAGGGCGATCACAAAACATCAGGACAAATTTCCTGCTTCTGGGAGCTGTTCTGTTGTGGGGCCAAATACATTCCCAGTGCTTGAGATGGGCCGAGGCTGCATGTCACAAGAGCTGCCCATTCGGTGGGAAAGGCTTTTGCCAGATTGCTTCTAAAACCGAATTGTCCTGGGATTTCAAGGTTTATTACCATCAAAAATAGGAATGGCAATGGGACTCCCTGGTGTTGAAAGCATTGCTAATTTCTTAGCATAGATTGTAAAGAAAGCTGCAGATGTGGAGTTCTCCTGGATTTACCTGCTGTGAGGATGGCACAGTGCCAACGGCTTCACTACTTTCTGTTGTCACTCCAGAAGTTGAGGGCAGTGGTAATGGCACAGTGCACTCCAGTGCCATCAGCTGCCAGGGCCCTGCCTGGCTGCAGGCAAGCTGCAGAGGGCACCAGGTGGTGCCTACTTCACCCAAACAGAAACACTGCTGCTGCTTCAGAATGACCTCTGCGTGTCACTGGGCCAGTGCTTGCTAAAGTTGATGATCCAGAGCACAAAGATGCAGCATCCCACTACCAGTTCCTGAATCCATTTGATCCTAAAGCAGCATCTTTTTAAAAATCAATTTACAGGAAGCTGTTAAGGCAAACACTGGGCCATCAGCTGTGTCTGATTTTCCAGTAGTGCTCCAGCTTTGTGCTTTCTTCTTCCTGCTGACAGGGGTTTTTCACTTCCCTTGCTTTCTGAGAGGGTTGTTTATGGGCCGTTATTCCCAGAAAGCTGAAGTCCCTGCTGTGAGGACAAATGCAGAGAGATTAGGTCGTGCTAATCCTCCCTGCGGATCCTTTAGACACCATTGCCACCATATGGTCAGTTTGGTCAGGGCTTCCTGCAGCTGGTGCTGCTCACACCTCGAGCTGTGGCCATCCATGGGGGCACAGACTGTGCAGTGGGGAGGTGCAGAACTCCCTGGGCTCTGGCCATCCATGGGG